ATTTAGGTTTGTGTATCGCACCATTTTTTTAAAAATGCAACTTGCCCGATCATAAATTGATGATATTGTGCAAGAAAATCAAGAGTTATGTGGTGTTATTCAACTTCTGAGTTTGACTAAATACCTATTGGTTCTAATGATGAGTTGGCTTAATTTATTGGTCGCCAAGAGAATGTTGTTTCTTAACATTTGATCTTGGTTTATCTATTTCTTTTTCTATTACTGGTTTTTTGTTTCTTCTTTTATTTTCCTTTTCACAAAGTACCATTCTTTGAGATGTTTATATATAATAAATTTTCTAAAATTTTTATCAAGATTTAATTTTGAATATTATTTTTATTATTTAGATATTATATGACAATATGAGAAATTGTCCAAGGATGAACCCGAGGAACTACTCTCTTAATTTATTTTCTCGATATCTAACAGTAGGTACTGACATCCAGGATATCAATTTAAAAATGTCTATCATGTTCCTACAACCTGTGCTATGTTTCAAGAAGCCAGCATCTGTCGAAACATTGTACTAAGTAACCTTTTAGTGCATGTGTGACTGTCAATCAAAACACAATGAAGAATAAATCTGAAATTTTATAATCTGTCCAAAGCAATCAGTGCGATTGCTTAAAAATAATACCGTTCAAATCGTGAAGCAAGTTTGAGAAATCCCTTTCGGAAAAACCTTGACTTTTTAAGAAAACACTTAGTAATATCAAGGTCATTGATGAGTGTAGGTGTGACATTCGTTAATTTGTGAAAATTAAGTCATTGTCACGTAATTTATTCACTGGTGTACAATTAGTCATGTCGAAAGGAGCGATTTATGTAACAGCAGGAATTTTATGGAATGTTTATGTGAAAACAAGCAAAAAACCAATATAAACAACAATAATAGCGCTAGTTGAAGGCAACTACCGGAGGAGGAAATTGATTGCACAACAACTTCGTAAGATTTTTGTAATTTTCTAGTGATATTTAATAATGTAGGAGAAAAAGTGGTCAATCCATAGGTTTAAATTAATTGCTTAAAGTATAAAACAGCCGTTTGTAAATTATTATCAATTAGTCGATTGTACGGTTGTAAGTAATTAGGCGCTGAAACGAATTTAACATTTAAGAAATGTATGCAGACATAATTGCACTGCAATATCGGATAAATAGCAGACTTTCGGATTCATTCGATCAAAATAAGAACGGATTATTGGGTCAAAACGAACATGTATAAATAATATGGTAAGTCGTAAAGTGTAATTGATTGTAATTGAGATTTAATTTATACACACAAATTTTCATATCTCAGTGTAAGACTCGAAAGGTGACAGACGTTGTTCTGGTAATAACTCAAAAATTGAACGGTATTTCTGGGTCTTATCGATCTTTACAATTTCCTCAAGACCTTAGATATAAGTGGACTATAAGCAGGTTACCTACATAGATTTAATTAGTGTAAATCTTAATTTGACTGCCTGTATCTGTCGCAAATTAAGACTACTTCTATACGCATGTAATCAATTTAGCTTGAATTATGAGCACTATTTAAATGTATTGATCTGACATTATTTGTTTTATTGCATTTTTCTCAAGCTATAACAAAATCAGTATCTGAAAGAGAAAAAATAATTTTTGATGTAATGTTTTGTTAATTACTTATCCACATGATGTAGGAGATTATAAATTATAAAAGAATCTTGCTTCATTCCTGTCTTGTAATTTTTGAATTAAATATAAATTTCAGTTCGTTAAACAATGTGTGAATTTTAATTAAAAAAATTACAGTACAATAAGTTATGTTATTTGGTAAAAGAAAGCTTTGTACAGTTTTTTTTTATAAAAATTGAAATTGAAATTTTTATAAAAATAAATGCGTAATATACTTGCCGTTTATTTGAGTATGCCTAAGAAAATGTGTAAAATAGTTTTTTTAATTTTTCAATAATAATCCTTCTAAATAAATTGATTTCAATAAATTTATAATGCACGTAATGTACGCTATAAGCGTTTAGTTTCGAGAACACTAATTTTTTGTGCACAAAAAGGAAATTTCGAATTTTTACATTTAGTCGTACTTGAGTAAAACAATTAGTTAGTCAATAAGAGAATTTTGTGATGGCTCGTATTTAGGACAGCAACGTATTATAAATCTCTTTTAAATCACCCTTCTATGGTTGCAGTCACTCAAAAGATATAGTGGTCCATAAAAGAACCATATTTATATGAACGTATTGGTGTAATAACTGCAGTGCCCCATTTAAGGATACCTACACTGTGTTATGCTCCCGTTAAAACCTACACGAACAAGTTTCAGGGTTTTTCAGACAAACTATGCCAATCTGTCGACTTTTCATGTCATTTACGGCCAACTCTAATTACGTACATTTAAAGCAATGAAAGTAATCGATAGATCACCGACTTCTTCAGTAGTCGCGACGTGACACCTCGGGAAAACGTTGCAACGACCACTCGCAACCTTGGAACAACCGTAAACCGACAATTCTACAAACTTAAACATCATGCAGTAAATCAATCGGATCCTCCAAACAATGAAACAAATAATTGATAGGTACTATCAGGCCAGACCTAATTTATGTCCATCAGCGCCCTCAGCAAATGTTTTATTGCCTCGTCGATAATAATAGATTGAGAAACGGCAATTTAATGTGAAGCAACAAAGATAAAACAAATGCGAAAATTGGTGGATGCGCCAAGGCCATCCGCATCCACCACTTTTCATTCTTTGTGAAAATGACGACCTTGCATGGCACGCGGCGCCATAAACAGGTTGGGGTCGTGTGTTGCGTCACTGAGGAATTCCAATAATATGCTCCGTGATGAGTGCGGTTTTCAGGGGCTCATATGATGGAGGGAATCGAGGTGCAACAATCTATTACAAAATTTTAATGATTGAACGGTTGGGAAATACACGACATATGGGTATCGGCCAGTTTATGACATTTCACTTTTGTCTAAAATTAGGTAATAATTAATTATTGACAGCATAGTTGTTTTGTTGAGATTCTTGAAGAAGGACAAATTAAGACAAATCTGTTCTCATGAATTTGTTGAGTCATTCCGTGGACTCAATAACTACCCAATGCTTAGGTTGAGGTGCAAGCAACAACATTTTTCAAAATTTTTACACACAAACAAAATATTTGCTGTTAGTAAAATAACAGTGTAAATGAACAAAAGACATGCTAACATAACAGTCGACGTCATGTAGGTATGCTTGTAAGTTTGTGTATTTTGTTTTGCATTACTTATTCAAGTGTTATTTGCGGATATAAAATTACATAGCAAAATTCAAATAAATATAAACCAAAATTAGAGGAAGTAAAGTTATGTAACACAAACAAAGTGAATTTGCATCAAGTAGGTACGAACAAAAGTTCCGTTTGCGCGTTTACCATTTATTTATTTATTATCTATAAAAGAAGCCCTTTGTACTTATCTACTTATTTCGCTCTTTTTACTGTTTTTCAAGTATTATTTTTCAATAGACGTACCCCCAAAATGATTATCTAAACAATATTACCAAATATTTTTTATATTTATTATTTTATATTATGATTTGCATTTGTCTGTATTTTTTACTTATTTTTCATCGATGTCAGAAATGTATATGTTGTAAAATCATGCACACAAAATTTATTAAGTTGCTTTTCGTTCTCGAAAAAAAACAGTGATTCTTTTTATTAGCACTTCTTGGTAGATTTGCGCCAAAATACATTGATTTGAATAGTTAAAATTCTAGAACAACATCGTTGATAAATATAGGCCCAAATGTAACCTCAATAAAAATTGTATGATGAAAATATGGATCAATCCATTGTTTGTTAAAAAAATACTTTAAATGCTCAGAAATCTGAGTGGTGATTTGTTACGCTTTCTTTAATACTCGGAAAACTACTTAACTTAATATCTAGAACTTAAGCGATCTTGAGTTGATCTATTGTTTATACAAACTTAAAATGCACGAATTTGGAAATGTCGTTTTTATAGTTTGCGTGATCTAAAACCTGACTTTCATTTTGCCTTTAAGTAATTGTTTAAAAGCGCCTAAACGACGCAATTATAAAAATTTACTACTACTTGTAGGAGATACTCTTGTAATCAAAGCTTAAACTTTTTCGACAGACATATTTTATGATGTATGATGTATTGTTAAATACCTTTGTGTAATTTTCACGTCACGTTGCGGAAACATACATCGTTTCATTTACTTATTGATCAACTCTGTCAACTAGAAATAGGTATTGTAATTAATTGAAGTGTATGTAATTTACATGATATAAAAACTAAGTGTATGTAAAATGTAGAATAACCTAAAAGATCAACTGAACAAAATGTAAAAAAAATTAAAAGGAATTTATTACCTAAATGAAGTGTCCCAACGCTTGCAAAAAGGCAATCATTTATTAAACCCTAAATATTAAAATGGTCGTAACGAGTCAAATAAGTTTAATTTTTGTTGCATATAACTTTTGTGGTAAAATTTTTGATTACCTGATATCTAAATTTTGTACAAAAAAACTGCAAGTAGTTACGTGATCATTCTAATACTCGTTAGACACGAATTTAATAATTTCTTAAAACTTTAAAAATGAGGCTGACCATCAAAACCAAATATCTTCGTTCACGTTGACGTTGAATATTTATTCATTCTCTTTCATCCGACATAATGAGCAAACTGGTCTTAATAATTAAAATTCTATAAATAATGCAAGAGTCAAAAAAAGCAAATGCATTGTACACTGTTTGAAATAAAACTCTTGTCGCGTCATTCTGGGATCAAAAATTCCTCTTGTAACAATAGCGTCCATTGTATGCATTCTTCGATCCATTTCTTCTCGCGCCCTGACATTCTTTCAACTCAAAAAAACTGCATTGATCAGTCCATCGCTTTATGCAGGATTACCACATGAACTCTGATAAAAGCATCAGCCCCACTCTCCGGTGACTCCGGCCACTGACCACCTCGCGACTCCGGGTTCCACTTTCAGTTTCGTTGGCGGGTTCATGCCGGCTGCATGCGCGAGACCTTCGCCAAAGACTAAGTTATGTGCTGAGCAAGTGACAGTTTGTTGACAGAAGCCAAAAGCCGAGCTGTTAAGGGTAATTTGTGTCTTCACTCAAAAACTTCACTTCAAACTCAAGACACCTCTACAATTTATTATTTTTTTAAAAACTAAGAAACCAAATTAAAAAATAATTTAAAGCTTTGTTGACTTTTGTTGTTGACGTTAATATAAGTTAATAAAAAAATGCCAGAGCTTTGTGTGGGGAAGCCTTATTTCAGAAGTTTGGTTACACAATTAGAGAGGTAAACGGGTTTTGATTGAATTGTTGCTGATGGTGTTATTAATAATATTTTTTGCAAATTGCCAGAATTATGTAAGTGACCTGATTTTTGTATTCCACTCTGTATATATTTCATTGTCTTTTTAGAGTGGTCGCGATAGAGTAATCTTTGAATTTATCAACTTCCGTTTAATTTTCATAAGAAAGTTTAATAAACATTTCCTTCCAAATAAAACGGTTATTATCTCCGAAAAATTATCAAATTGGTGCAGACAATAACATTTTTTAAAGAGCAAAGTTAATTATAAATCAATTGTTATATTGTCTGCATTATAAACTGTTTAATTTTTTGACTGCAAGCAATTATCTGCGGTAATAGGAAAAATGTAATTCTGTATTGTCGCAAGCGCATAAATAATATTTTTTTTTATTATATCTGCATCATAATCCTAAATTAAAACACGCTGCATCGTGCGTAATTTGGCCTTTATAGCACGCTGAATTTTAAAGTTGTCTAGGTAACAAGAAATAGTGGAAATATCTGGACCAATTACAATGTAAAAAAATGTGCTTAACAACGTAAAGGTATAATAAAAAATAGCGTATAACACTCGTTTATAAGCGCCCTTAAGACACTTACGACGTTAAAAGCACTCCGCTGATGCGTCGTGCTCTTAAACTCCTCGTGTGTGTTTTAAGGGCTTGCTTATAAACTAGTATTATAATATACTATTATGTTAGAGATGTCATAAATTAATAGGTGTTTTAACTACTAAATCCGAAAATATTTTCGTCAAATACCATACTGCTTCAGTGTTTTATTGACCTAGTTCAAATACATTTTAATTATGTTTATCTAAATTTGGATTAGCGTGTTTAAAAAAAGAATAGTTGGAAGAAATATCCATTAAATAGTGAACCGAATTAAATTGAATTGAATTAGTGCATAAGCTTATTACTTTTATTTTAGTTTCAATTTTCATTACCTGCTTAATGTATTTGTTGATTTTATTCAATTATGAAAATGTTTTTATTTGAAAAATTAAGTAATAAAACATTCTCCAATTTGTAACTACATAGTTTTTGCTTTGGATTAAACAAAAAATTAATTTTTGTTATAATGAAATTACATTTATACACGCTAATATCCTCAATGACAGCTCCCTTTCTTATCAAAAAAGCTATAATTACCTCATTATTACCTCAATGTTTATTTTTTTAAGTCAATAATAATAATCAGCATTATAAAGTCATTGACTCAAGCAATTGAAATTCATCTCATGCCCATTCGTGGCTACACACTAATGTAGTTCGCATAAATTTTTATGAATTTTTGATTTTACGATCGGGAATATAATTTATAATGGAGGGATAAGCTCAAAATCGTGGAGTAATTAAAACAATAGGAAAACTGACACAACAATGTTGGTAGAAATGAAATACGTCCGTTTCATTATTACCCATGTCATGTTCTACCATTGTTTTATTATATTTAAATCACATTCAGATTAATTAAATGAGACTATTGCCGGATTAGGAAATAGCATTAACAATAAGAACAATTTAGACACGATTCAAAGAAATTTATTTTATATTCTGTAGCTACTGCAACAAGTACCGTTCATGAAACATGTGTTTCGGCCCTGACATCAATGACCCTTGCATTGCTCTGACTTAAGCCAGCGCGATTTTGATTTCAAACGAATAAAAGTTCAAAACTGTTGTAAATATCTCATTGATAACTTTCTACTCATTTTTATTAGAAAATTTTTAATAGTTATACAAAAGATAAAGAACTTTCTCAGTTTGTATCAAAGATATGTTGCAAGTTATTTTTACAATATTTGTTGAAAGTACAAGGGAAATATTGGTGTGGTAAATACACGAAAGCAAATGTTTAAGCAGACGGCAGAAAATAAGATCGCAATTTTTATTACCTTGCAAACGTGTTATGTAAAACACACATCCATTGTACAAAATAGACAAAATCATCAAAAATTCACATTTTTTTAAATGACTTACGAGTACTTAATAAAATGAAAAAAATGCATCCTACAACGTAAAATTAGCAGCTCTGAGATGACTGTCAGTTAAAGTTAATTTAAAAAATCGCAATTATTTACATTAATTTAAAGGTTCCTTCATATTCCTCAAGTGTGAACATTTTATTTATTTGTGTGGATGCTACATTATTGACTCTAATACAAAGAAGCTTCAATTAAATTACTTGAACTTGACCTATCCACTTAACTAAATCTTGACTATTATTACTTTTGAATTAAGTTGTGTTAAGGATACTCGAATAACTGCAAAAAATTAATTATTTATCATTACCAATAATTAACGTAGGTACGTATAAGTAATTTGCTTTATTTACATTAGATCTTGTAATTTCGTAACAACTTAGATATAAATGTTTTTTTCAAGTGTTATACTAGAATTTTTTGAAAATTATCGTGGGCCAGCAAATTAATCATTCACCTAATTTTTATCTTAGTACTTACTTAGAGGAACAATTTTATTTTGATTCAAAATATTATGAAACCTATTATTCTTAGGTATTTTTATCTTTATTATCACCAGAATGTGAAAATACTAAGGAAATTTTTATTTATTTATTTATTAGAAAAAGCTACTTTTAGAATTATGCTTTACACATTTTTACCATTAATTTTCTAATAGTTTATTAATGTCTTGTATTTTTTTTTTGATAAATAAATTATATTTACTTTGACTTGGTAGGTTTAAGTAGAAATAAATGTTAAAACTAAACCTTGTATATTTTTTTATAAATATAATGTCGATATTATTGTCAAAGTACCCAGTTATAAGACAGAATTTTTTGCATTGCAAGGAAAAACATCTGTCGTTTTGCAACTTGTCCTTAATTTCACGCCTCCACATTTTTTTATTTTACAAAATTATATTATTTTAATTTTGCGATAAAAAAACCACAACAATAGAATATTGTCCGTACATACAAAACGGATGTTGCATTGTTGATAAGTAGCAAAATTGAGAAACGTGTGCAATACAATTCCTCGCAAATGCATCATCTTTGTGTCAGAAAAACGGCGATATTTTTGTAATTAAGTGCAATTTAACGATGATGAAAACCGTAAGGTTAAGAGTTTCGCAAGTTTCCAACAACAGATCTTACAAAGCTTTCCACTTAAACGTACGTTGCGCCACGAAAACGCTCCAATTCGATAATTACTTGCAGCCGTCACATCTCGCACTGTCATGCTGAAACGGAGCTGAAATTTGCCGAATCAGAAATGTTAAGATGGCTTGGACCGCGAAAGGCCCTGACGCCGAGCGACGGTCAAGCAGATCCTATCCCAAGCATCCTCCAAGACGAAGACGTCACCGACGACCCCCTCGCTGCTTTAGACACCCACCGGAAAGGACTGAAGCAAATCTACTCAGTCAGCAGGTCAGTCTTCTTGCCCAGAGTTAGTCTCAAGAACACTTGTAACACTGACAATGAAATTTGCTGTTCGCCACAGGGGTGAGTAGAAGAAGTCGTAAACTCCCACGGTCTAACAAAATAACAGCAATAACACCTAACTTGCAAAAAATTGTTGAAAATCACAATCTATTTTAATTTTCTTGATGTAGGGTAAACCCTCTTTTTTGCGATGCCCCTCAAAAACCCTCTCGTCAACGAAGCCCCCAACCAGGCGAAAAATCTACATCCTCGGGATATGGAAGTAGTCTAGACCAGTTCTACTCTGATCCAAAACTCCGTGATGAGAATGAACAAACCCAAAATTTTGTCAAGTCAATAAAACTCAATCGTGTTGGAAAAAACAACCGGTCACTCCCATCATCTGGATCTTCTGCTGGTACTTTAACCACCATTCCCGAAGGTCGCGTTGACCTCCCTATCCCCAAACCCATTTGGCCAGACAAGAAACTCCACGATTCTCTCGTCGACGACGCTCTTCTCCGATATACCAGCTTCAACCACCAGCAGGACTTCACCTCCACTGACCGCTTAGACGTCTCTGTTAAAGAAGTCCTCGTGGAACTTCTCAATGGCATCAACGCCACCATGGATGGAAGCACCGGCTTGACACCAGAAGAAATGCTTAAATCCGTTAACGAAAAAATTGCCGCTAGTATTGAACTTTTGCGCTTGACAACCGAAGAAGAAATGAAGAAACTGTGCATCAACTTGAGCAACTGTAGGAAAATTAATTCGGTTCTCCGGGCATTCAGTAACTCTCCAGAACGAACTGTGAGTGACACCGACGAGTTGTACCAGATTCCCTCGGGATCGTCGAGTAGTGGTTTTAGTGATTTGAATGCTCTCCCGGTTTTTATCCATGAAGACTTGGGGAGTGTGCCGAACGGGGTGAGGAATGCGATGATCTACGGAACTCTGTATCGGGGCAAGAACCTCGGGTGTAAACCCGTCAAAGACACTTCTCCGAAGAGGACTTCGCTGAGGGATGTCAACGACAACAAGCCGAGTGTGTGGGAGCAGTATTATGGGGTGAGGGCGGTGCAGGAAGGGGAGGTGAAATATGTGGCAAAACCAACGGATGTCCCTCTTTTTGTAAGTATTGTATTTTTAATGAATCATCGAGTCGTGACAAGATCATCCCAGATGTGTAACATGTAATTGAAGCTTTTAAATTATCCATACACCCACTAGATCAAAACAATCCGACTCCCACGTGACTCACCCAAGCCGCCTTGCGGCAAAAAGTGACTACTAGATCAGAGCGAAATTTCTTTATGACCTCATCGTCGGCATGGTGAAAGGTCGTAAGCCACCAAATGACCCATAAGCGTCAAATCGGCCATTCAGTTTGTTTCCTATATCATGTTCAAGGTCGGCCGAGTTTTGGTATGTGACTTCGCTCAGATGATCTTAAAATTACCAATTAGAGGCGGTTAATGTCATAGTGTGACGAAATATCACCGTGAAATTATGGGATTTTTATCGGATTTTCATTCAAATTAAACATTAATTAAAGGAATGTATTTTTTCGGTGGTTTGACATTTGGTAGCTGCGTGATTGGAGTTTTATTGGTTGTAATTTGGGTTTATGTATTTTTTAACAAACATACCTGACAAGAACATTTAAAATTGCATTACACGAACTTTTATTGTTTCAACATTTTTATCTTGGGACCAGTCAGATGAAAAGATATTTTTTCTATTTACTTTTTTCTCATACCTTGAGATAACTCTTTTATGCATTAAAAAGAAAAAGAATTGGACTTTTGTATTGCACTTTCTTTTCACGTCCTATTTTTCTAATCAGTAATCAGACATAGACAAAAACTACAAATTAATGATATAGAAATTATTTAGGTGTTTCGTTTCATTCTTATTTAATGTAAATAATATGTTTTTAGTAATACTCTCTTTGTAATAGTTACTACTAATTGTTTGGAAATGGTCACAATAAACTACAACTCTCGCAGATATTTTTGTTACTTTAAGGTCAATGGACGAATAAAAAAATATAAGTATAAAAATTCCAATTAATATTTCCGTTTTGATAATAATTTTTGAGCATCAAAATAATTGATTTGAGTGGTATTAACCATGGCCCACTTGAAGACGTGAATTTTCATGGGTGATCGAGCAAGAGTAATTTTCGGAACTTTGGAATACGTATATCTACCCACTATCAGAACACTTAAAATAGAAACCATTTAATGACAGTCACTAGTGATTTTTTATGGTTTTTAAATTCTGGAGAAAATAATTTATTTCAATTTACAACTCCTTCACTTTTCATCTCACAGTTGGCACATTTTTTCGCTTTCTACCAGCGCCAAACAGTTTTCAATTTCAAATTGTTTTATTTGTACGATCACAAAAAAAATGGGTCGCCATCTGGTAAATACTTTTGTAATAAAGAGAAAATACTGAATCTGATAACCATCGCATTGCATTCACGTTTTTGATATTGTAAAATTGTCAAGAATCTTAAAAACAACACGGAAGTGGATAGGGTGCAGCCTTCCCACCGGAAAAAACATGCATTAAAAAAATTGCAAATAAATCAAAATCAGAGCGCAACTTTCTCCGGATTTTGATCATCAAAAATGAAATTTACGCTCTCGTAGGACGATTTATCGTGATCAAAAAGTTTTGACGGCTGTACCTACATTTTAAATAAGAATTACATGTAGCACGTAAACATTACATAAGAAGAAATATAAAATATTACACATCATTGGCAGTTGTGGATTTTGATCGTTTTATTGGATTTATAATGGTAGAAAGATCTTACATAAAGTCCTAAACTTCCAATTATTAAATAAATATTGCAAAAAACTACTCTTACGAAAGATTTTGATTCAATTTCTTCTTTCTGTTTGTTTGCATAATAATTGTTGGTAAACAAAACATTGATGGCATAGCACTTATCGCCTTGAGATTACGAGGTACTGTAGTGACACTAAAATTTCGGAAAGTCAACTTCGAAACTTAAGCTTAAGCACTATATTTTAATTTTAAACACATTTTAGTTAATTGCAACTGTCAAAGGTCATGCAGTTTGATTTACGAGAATGCAGAGATTTGCAAAATGTATTGATTAATATTCGTTACTTCAAAGTTATGAATAGTCAAATGACGTAATGTTGTCTGAGATTTTTAGAGATACAAGATATCAATACTAATTAACCGTATAATCAGATAACTACTAATCGACTAATTACATCTACGTGTATTTATTTTTAATGTTTAAACATTTAAAATAGCTAAACTGTGTTTCCAGTTTTTTAGGAATCGATGATAATATCTAATGGCATTATTTTTACGAGCCAAAGATTTTAAAAGTCGGTTTAGGTATTTTTCAATTGATTAGAATTGGTCCTGTCAATGAATGCTCAAAAGGACGTCGTAGAATACATTGTTGAAAACAGAATTTTTAACTTGAGATATGTTTGGAATAAAAATGTAAGTAGATAGGGTATGTATTTAAAAATATATATTTTGACATTAAAGAAAAATAATTCCACCTTTATTCATATCAAAACTAGTAGATTTACTATGTATCTATGTAACAGAGTGAAACAGTATTTTTTTTATTTCAACTACTTGGTTTTGTCAAACGAGTATTGAAATTTAGAAAAACCAACCAAGCGAAAGCAATTAACAAAAATTCAACACATTTTGTGGTACTCCAACTTGGTCAAATTTAAAAAAAACTTTGACATAGCTGATAAACTCTAATAAATCTTTATTTAAATCCTTACAGATCTTTTATTTCTGAATGTTGTGACCCTGAGTCTACTCCAAAAGTCTACGGGCTTTTCATTTAAATAACTCTTAACAAATATGTAGTACGTATTTTCCAAAAATACCTACATAAGTAAGACATTCGATCTGAGTACTTCAAAAAAATCTTTATTTTCGTTTAAAATAAATATTGTACTATATTTTACTAAATGAAAAAATAGTGTTTTTTGTTTTCTATTTTTGTTTAAAAACCATGGCATTTTTATGGTTGATTTCTTGTAATTATTACACTTATTACTTATTTTTAAATATTACTCAGGAATTTTTCTATTCCTATTAATAAGATTATTTTATGAAAAGAAAGATTTTTGTTAAAATAACTGTTTTTTTCATCTTGCAAAATATATTGTTTGTTTTTTGTTTCTACGAAATAGGATATAATACGTAGCAGCATATAATTTTCAGCATTTTATTTCAGTTTCTACGTTTAGTTTTTCTGTTTCTTCGCACGCAACACTTTTTACCATTTTACCAAGACTATTTTTATTATCTCCATTGCAAATGTCTTTATGTAACAAAATTTCCATTTCTCATAGAATTTTCTCTCTTACTTCCTCAATAACAATCATTTTTCTTCCGTATCAAGCCTGAAGAGTATGCACATGACCCCATTTTACGTAAACCCTGCGTGGCTTACATTCTTTCGACTTCCCTCTATTTTAATCATTGTACCTTTACGAATTTATGTACATACTAAAAACAGTTCACCAAAACCAGAAACGCCGAACCAGAAGAGTCACGGCACAAGGCCTCAACAACCCGAGCGTTAAAATAACACGGAAACATTTCTCCTCTTCATCGAGCACTTAAATCTCACACTCTAATGCACTTCATTCTGACACAATGACGCAATACCATATTTTATTTAGGGCAACTAACTTCCCTTTTCGTCGCCCAAAGGGTAAATTATATAATTTCAACCACGACTCCAAAAGGCTTCGAGTCATCCGCCATGAAGGAGGCGCCAGAACGCTTCCCCGAGGCTGTGTTGCACCATGTCGTTTACCAACGGCCTTCGAAGGCCGCTGACCAGTTTTTGGCCGCTGACGACAGCTTTAGCACAATTCACACCCTCGTCCAAATAATGTTTATGTAATGTAGTGGAATTTTTCGATGAAATTGGTGGAGTTAATTGGCCCCGGGGGCTGATTAGGGCGTTTAGATGCATGAGAGATGGCCGTGGTCGTAATCGAAGGCGACGATGCGGTTGTTTTCTGCATACGTGAGTTTTATTTTATTTTCACTTTCAATGATTGCTTGGCCTACTACCCTACATTGTTGGCTAAAGCATCTGAACGAAACGAATTGGAAAGTCGTTCAACGTTGCAATATCTGTCTAGCGTATTAGCGAATTTTTAACGCGACTCGAGCTGAACCCTTTGCCGATGGCCTCAATTATCATTCCATTAAGATAAAAATTCTTGTTTACTATTTTTTGGAGCAGTTGGGCAATCACTATACGCTACTTAGACTAACCGTTTGAGTTAATTATTGCGCTGTTAATTAATACATAACTTTTTTTCACTACACCAGCAAAGTTTTAAAAAAGTGAAATTGTACTTTTGAATTTTAAGATCAGAGTAGACATATTCCTGACTAATTTTAAAATAACGTAAAACTGCTAATCAAGGGAATGAAGTTACAGATATCATTGCTTCATTCTTTCAGCAACTTTGAAGTAAATCTAAAATTGGACATCCATATATTTTTTTTATTTACAGAAACGCAAATCAGATTTAACACAAGAGTAACACGATTTTCGCCAAAAGTTAAATTGGCATTTTTTACCAACTACATTTTTTTAATTTGTATTAACTCTATTAAGTTAATTTTTAATTAACTTGTAGGTACATACGAATTATTATGTTGCCTTAAACATTTTCCACAGAGCACATTTTTTCTCAATCATAATTCGGCAAAAAACTGCAATATTTTAACTATTTCTAGCAAAACCAACAACAATTTTATTTTGCAAAACGACTGTGTTGCAATTTCCAGAAATTATATGATATTTGAATGGCAACATTACAAAATACAATTAAAGTTAGACAAAAGCTCGTAATAAAGGAAGACCTAAAGATTATTATCATATCAAATCGTACGTATTTACATCACTGTGTCAAATTATCAGATTTCCTGTCTTCCAAGTGGTGAAAATGAGGAAACTTCATTAATATTAATGTAACTAACTAACTCGTTGAAAATTTCCCCAGTTATCTTCGCATTTATGGTCCGCCTGTGCTAAACCACTATAAAGCGTCAAATTAAATTTATATCACAATTTGCATATC